ATTGCACTGAGAAAGCACACCTGAGCTGCTCACCAATAGAATGGGCCTTTCCTTCTCATTCGAGAGTGATAGCCAGCAGTATTGAGCACTGAGCTATGTACTAGGCACTGTTCTGCTTTTATGCAGATTTCCCTCATTCAATTCTCACAGGAACACTTAGCAGTAAATACTGTTTTTAATCTCCATTTAACATATGAGGAAACTGAGGCACGGGGAGCTGCAAATTCATAAAAATATATGATGCGCATAAATGTCAGAGCCAGGCAGCGCCCAGCATTCTGACTTCAGAGACTGTGGGTGCGAGTCCTCAGCACCCCAGACGGCTGAGGACCCGTCACGGAGCCTCTGAAGCGGGGCTGGTGGTGGCTCGGGAGCAGCAGGAAGTGTCCCTGGGAGACTCCTGCTCCGCTCTGTAATGGAAGTGATGGTGCTAAGGCTCTCTCTCCGTCCCTGTCTGCCGGCTCCCAGATCATCAGTGAGGACGTGGCCAAGAAGACGTGTGAGGAGCACCAGCTCTGTGTGGTGGCCGTCCTGCCCCACATTCTCGACACGGGTACGCTGAACAGGAACTCGCTGCTCTGAGAACATTTTCTAAAGCAATTCATGCTACTCCTTTATTTCTGTCTTTACAATTTTTGTTTGTTTCAATCAGGAGCGGCAGGCAGAAATTCTTATTTGGAAGTTCTTCTGAAATTGGCAGACAAATACAAGAAGAAAATGTGGGGGTAAGTTACTGAACTTAGTCCCTCCCATGTGGGCAGGAGAGGGTGGTGCTTCCTGAAAGGGTGTGGCTCCCTCCGTTTTCTTAGGATGGGTTCATGTTTGTGTCATTTAGGAAGAAAAGCAGTACTGCAGGTTTCTTACTTATAAGGCAGTTATTTGTAGCATACTTTTTCTCATATGAATTGTAGTTTAAATGGTGGTTGGGGTCCCAGGCTAGCAAGCAAAAACTTAATTAGTAACATAGTTGAATTCTAGCATGGCCTCGAAGGCTAGATAAGGAGGAAGAAACAGGTGCTTCTGTACCCTCCCCTGCAACGCCAGATCTAGACACGTTTTTAAAACAAAGGATGCCTCTGTCTCCTCCCTTTATCTTTTGGTTTTTCATCCTCGTCCTTTGTTGCAGTCCCCCTGCTGTCACTCTCACTGTGCTTTGTACTTCCTGTTAGTTCAGCAAGCATTTATTGTGTGCCTACAGAAGGCCGCCTGCTGTAGTTTTTCATTTTGACCTTTGTAGAAGTTAAGAAATTTGGTTGAGCATTTTTTACAAAATTAAATATATTTTTATTGATTTCTGAGAGGAAGAGAAAGGGGGAGAGAGATAGAAAGATCAGTGATGAGAGAGAATCATTGATCTGCCTCCTGCACACCCCACACTGGAGATTGAGTCCCCAACCCAGGCATGTGCCCTGACCAGGAATCGAACTGTGACCTGGTTCATTGGTTCGACGCTCAACCACTGAGCCAAGCCAGCCGGGTTGGTTGAACATTGTTATACAGGGTGGGGCAAAAGTCGGTTTAGAGTTGTGAGTACATGAAACAGTTTATTCCTGCATTATTTACTAATTGTATATTTCCCATATGAACAGCTGTAAACCTACTTTTGCACCACTCTGTATGTATTGGATAATGATGACATATCCATAACTTTTTAAAAAGTAGTTATTACATGTGTTATAACTACCTAAATGATACATACATAATTACCTAAATGATATTGGTAACAAACACAGAAAGTTCATGAGGCTTAGTTGACAATATTTTGGAGACGGGGGTGGGGGGAGAAACTGGCTTACAGGTAGGCCAGTCCATTTGGGGGACTTCTGGAGTTGGGGTGTAGGAAACTTGAGGGAGGAACTGAATTACTCAGGAGCACATATAGAATACATTATTTTTTAAAACTTACCTTTTGTTCTCATTTATTTCATCCATAAAATATTTGAAGTGTAGTCTTTTGTTCTTTAATCAAGATCTGCTAGTTAGGGTCTAACTGAATTGAAAGGGGCTTTTGCCCTGAAACCAGTCTGCCTTCCTAGGTGGCTGTGGACGGAAGCTGGCGCGCAGTCTGAGCTGGAGAACGCACTGGGGATCGGGGGGTTTGGCTACCCCGCCATGGCGGCCATTAACGCGCGCAAGATGAAGTTCGCTCTTCTGAAAGGGTCTTTCAGTGAGCAAGGCATTAACGAGTTTCTCAGGTAACCTTTTTGCCCTTTTGAGTTGTTTTTGTTTTGTCTGCTTGTTTTTGCTGTGGGTTTTGATTCGAAACTGGGTTGATGTAGAACAGGCAATAAGTGGAATTATTTTGTATTTGACATCAGAGACTTAGAAGTTTATACATTTGAGCTTTTCAGTTGCTTTTTCCGTGGGAATATTCTGCAGTAGCAGTTGATGCCCATGCTTCCCTGTTCTCTGGTCACCTCGTCGTTCTGTTCAGTTGATACTGGGCTCTTCCTGATTCTCGTCAAGGTCTCATGGGCGGGAAGCAGCCTGTCTCCCCCATTCCCACCCGAGCGTGCTTGGTGCCCTTGACCTCAGATGATCCGGTTGCCATTTCTGGGCATTGGTCTTAGCGTGTAGTTATTTCAGAATGGTGTTACTGTAAAACAGGCAGAGTAGCAATTACGTTTCCCCACTTTCCCACGTGCAGATAGCGGCTGTCAAGCACCCATAGGAAACGTAGTATCTATCCTTTGGGGTTTCCCAAGCCCACATGCCAGCGCCCTTCACCAGAGCACACTCGAGGCTCCTGTACAGCAGCCGGTTCCCAGCCTGCGGTCTTCCCGGGCCTGTTCTCTCCCAGCGCCTGCCAGAGGCAGGGCTTGCGTCTCCCTGAAGCCGAGCGGCGAGGGAAGTGCTGGCACTGTCCGTGGGTCGGTCACGGGGCCTGCGGAGTCGGGCTCCTGTTCACGGCAGGGCCTCAGCTCGCTGTGGGACCGAGGAGAGAAATGGAATTGCCGTCTTTCACACAACCTTTCTGGGGCTTAACTCTCAACTTGGTAGTTTTACATAATTTGTATTTTAGCAAAATACACGTGCTGTTTGTTAAATGAGCCGCTCTGTCTGACGCTGAGCCCGGTGGATTCCAGGCCTGGTGTGCGGTGGTCCTGCTTGAACAGGCAGTGCAGTTCATGGCGTGTCCCGGGGGGGTGTCTGCATGAGCAAGTGGCAGACCATCCTCTACAGCTGGCTCCCCGTGCACCACAGTCCCTCTAACGCCTGCACTTGTTTGGCTGTTTCCCCCAAGGGAGCTCTCTTTTGGGCGAGGATCTACAGCACCTGTAGGAGGGGGCGCTTTCCCCGCCATCAGCACCAGAGAGCCTTGGGACGGCAAGGATGGCGAGGTGAGTCCCGGGACGGGGCGGGAGGCTGTGTGCGCAGGACTCGTGACGGGGACGCCATCCTCTTTTTACCTTCCCGGTCCCTGCGCATCTTTGCTGCTTGTGAACCGAATCCTTTCCGTCGGAACGACCCGCTCTCTCACAGACCCCCACCGGAAATGAAGTCTGGGCCGGGACATCTGGTCAACCGCGGCCTTCTGTTTTGGGGAATGCTGGTCGACCAGAATTTTCGGGGGGTGGGAGGGGAAGGGGAGGGAGCCAGCCCTCGGCCCCCCTGGGAAAGGGGCCGCGTCCGGACCTAAGCCTTCACCTGACGCCAGAAACATCACAGCCTCAGGGAGGTCCCTCCTTTCAGGGCCTCATCCCATCCCCCCTGTGAATAGGACTACGTGGATTTGGTTTGCTTAACATAGACCCCAAGATCAGGCCATAATGAGGTTGCTTTCCGGACAGCACCCCAGAGTGAACATGAACCTTGAATTCATGCACCTGCCTTACAGAAATGGAAAGTCACAGCTTTGAAATGAGCCTTTATTCTGGCACATTCTGCCCGCCCTCCTCGAAGGCCAAGCTGAAGAGTGCCAGTAGAGCCATGTTCCCTATGTTCTCAGCTTCTCGCCCAGCTGTAGAGTAGACCTGGGTCGGGCAGGAGCTGGTGTGGTCCGGAGCGCCTCGGGATCATTCCTCCTCTGTGAGCGGAGACTGCGACCTCCAGGGCCGCCTATGCCTGTGCCTGACTGCGGGCCTGATGTGGTTCCCTGTTTTGCAGCTTCCTGTGGAAGACGACATTGACCTCAGTGACGTGGAGCTGGACGACTTGGAGAAAGACGAGTTGTGAGGCTCAGCACAACTTGCGCCTTCTTTTCTTGGGAGCAGATGTTTCCAGCAGTGGAGGAACGTTCTCTGCAATCAGATGCATCTACTGTGGCCTTGTAACCAAGAAGTAGCACTTGATTGGTCATTTGAAAACACTGCAACAATGAACTTTTGCATCTCAAGAAAACAATGAAAAATTCTATGAATTGTAGCCAGTGGATGGGGTGGCTTCTGTCAAGTACTATTTTGAAGAAAACTGCTGGGCTGTTGAAACACTTTCCCTCCCTCTGACTGCTGCTGGGGTGTTCTTGGAGGCTGTTTCTTATGTCAGTTTTTTTAATGTGATTCTTTCATTTGAATATTAATGGCTTTTCCATGAAAGAATAAAACAATATTTTGGACAATGCCAACAAATGTATGAAATTAGTGTCCCCGTCATAAATTCAGAGCCTGCTGCTCAGCCAGTCAATTGATCTGGTGATGACGGCCTGGCCCTGAGGTCTTTCCTTTCTAAGAACGTGTGACGGATGACGCCATCTGGATGCCGCACAGCACACATTCCCCGTGGCTGCAGGCCAGTCTCCCCGGGCCTGTGAAGTGGAGAGCGAGTTCACAGAGAGGACGACAGGCAGCCCCGCAGTGGGAACGGCTCAGGCCCCACCGCGCGTGGGGCCACCAGCAGCGACGGCGGGGGCTGCAGCTGGTTGTACAGTTAGCGCACGGTTTTCAGTGTTGCTACTAAGTCCTCACAGAGCGTCCCTTAAGACAGACAGCAGCAGGTGGCCCTTGCTAAGCAGTCCCCATCCATGTAAAACATTCAGAAAAAGGAAGTGTGGATTATGTTAGGATGTAAGTGAAGAGCCCATTGGAAGGACTGAGCACTTCTTTATTGTAACTTACAAAAAATAAATACAACAGTGAGCAACTTCTGTGAGCCATTTCTCTGAAAATCTAAGTCCTGTAGGAGACGAACTTCTGCGGAGGGAAAGGAGCGTCCGTCATGTCGTCCGCATGACAGGAGCTGAGCGGCGCCCGCTCGGCGTGCTAGTCGAGAAGACTGAGGTCGATGCGGAAGTAGACGTAAGGAAAGTAGTCTTGGTTATTGAGTTGCAACCCAGGGATATCCATAGCTGCCTGCAAAAAAGACGTCATGTTCTAAGTGCACAAACCGGTTTTATCTTTACCTTTTTGAGGAAGCTCTAGGCACTGACCGCCTGCTCTGCCCTGCACAGCTCCCACCCCAACACCACCCCCACCCCGCCACACACACACACACACACACACACACACACAGCCTTCACACTTCCCTACTTGTGAAAGGTAGATTCTCACAAGAGCCTGGCAAGCACCATTTTGGGAACGTTTGCACCACATGGAGAGGCTGACCCAGGCTGTAGACGGGCTGTTTCCACGTCGGATACCTACATCCAACATGCTGGCAGCTGCCACTTCGTCCAGGTGTTTGAAGACGGAGTTCAGAACCTCTCGCAAACGCTTGGTGGACGACTTCTTTTGAGGCTGGAGGAGCACAGCCTGAAAATTCACCGGGAGTCCATACCTTCCCGGACAGACAAGCTGTGTGAGTAGGTTACTCCGAGGCAAGTGTGGGGACAGGGAGCTGGACGGGAACTAAGCAGGCTCTACTGCAGAGCTGCCACCAGCCCAGCTTGAGAAAAGAAAGCTCGTCGAGCAGCATGGCCAGGGTTGGGAGAAACAGATTACCAGGTCCTTCTGACTAGACAAATCCCTACAACACGCTGGCCTGCTTCTGACAGGAGGGTTGTTGACTGGGGAGCCGGGAGGTCAGCCCAGCCCTGGTGGCCACTAGGTGGGGAGTGCGTGGGGTAAACAGGCAATTTGACGGACTGTTCTGACCCAAAGCACTGGCTGGACCCAGCTGGTTTATCAAGCTTGTTCGTTCCTTCTCCTGAGTTTCTGTGGACAGAGGCTTTGAATGGACTTGGCACGCCTGGGTCCATACTGCTCACCACGCGCCTTCCTGTCCCCGCGCCAGCTATGCAAGTCTGTAAAGGATCAAACCCTTGGACTTGCCCGACGCGCAGCGACTCGTGTGGCCAAAACCTGTTACTACTCCTTAGTTTTTATTTCCCAGTGTCCGTAAATTCCCCCTGGCTCCCACACTTTGCCAGCCCTCACTTCTGGCTTCTGATGCCGTGTACCCTGAAATACTGAAATGTATTTGAGCTGCAGAAAGGGAAGTCAACGGGACCGGGGAAGTGGGCTGTCGGTAATGGCGTCCCGTGTAACCAGGCGTCAGGCCTACCTTCCCCTGCAACCCGTACGGGTTGGCAGTGCCGCCCACTGCTGCAGGGTCCAGCCTTTCTCCTCCCCTTTACATCGCCATCGTGCCTTGTTCCAAACAAAAACTTCAACTCCCTACAACTCCTGGTCCAAACTTTAGTGTCCAGTGTCCTGTCACCACGATCTGTGTCACTCAGTCATCCTTTGCCTTTAGCTTCTCACACCAGGGACATCAGCACCTGAAGCTTCCCCTCCCTGGCCCTCCAGCACCCTCTCCCGTCTCACTTCCTCAGGGGCTTCTCGGCCGCCACTCCTTAAATGCCGGGGGTCCCTGAGGTGGTCCCTCCCTAGGTGAACTCCATACGTCAGTCATCATGGAGGATTCCCTAACGTGTTCCTATTGAGACCGCGCTCAGGGTCCAGGCCGATGCGCTAGCCCCCGGCCCCCTCAGCAGTCCCACCACAGCCCCGCCTGAGGCCCCGTCCGGTTCATCCAGCTGACCACCCCGGCTCACTGACCCTGAAGATGAGCTAGTGCGTCCTCACTTTGATGCTACTCTGTCCACAGTCATTTAGCATCTACTCTGTGCAATGAGGCCTGATGATAGAGGCAGAGCGGGGCTCAGCCCCAGCCCTCCCCTGGGCTCCCAGAGGAGGAAAAGGTCAGAAGCAGCATCTGGAGAAGGCAGAGCAGCAGCACCGACGGGGGCAAAGGCCAGCGGACGTTCCCTGCTGCTCTAATGCACTTGCTCATCTATTTTCTCAGTTACGATCTCTCCATAGGCTGGGAAGTGGAAGGCCTTTAAAGAGTCAAGTAAGGCCGGCTGCTGTGGCTCAGTGGTTGAGCGTTGACCTATGAACCAGGAAGTCCCGGTTCGATTCCTGATCAGGGCACATGCCCAGGTTCTGGGCTCAGTCCCCAGTGTGGGGTGTGCAGGAGGCAACTGATCGATGATTCCCTCACATCATTGATGTCTCTCCCTCTCCCTTCCTCTCTGAAATCAATAAAAACGCATTTTTAAAAAGGACCTGGTATCTCTACACATACAGAGCAGATGAAAAAAGCAAGTTGCAGAATCTTAGGTATAAACGATCCCAGTTGGGGGACACGGAGACTTGAAACTCTCCGCCCTGAGTACGGGCGGGCGTGGGACCGTGAGGAACGTTTCCCACGGCACAGACTCTGAGCGTGACTTTTTACAGTGCTCGTGTCGCACAGCTGTCTCAGGACACTGGTCAACGCGGCAGCAGGGCCAGCCTGGGACTCATCACCAAGGCGCCAACCTCTGAGATGGGGGTAGAGGATGAGGAGCCAGGGTCAGCTCCATCTGCGTTTGGACAAAACCACATTGGCAGCCACGTGGAGGATGAACTGGGGGCAAAACCAGGTAGGAGCCCATGGCAACAGCCGGGCAAGCTGAGGTGGGAGACGAGCGAAAAGAAAGCAAAGGCAGGCTGGGCAGGCCTGTGAAAGGGTGCGGTGGGTGGAGGCAGCGGGGGCAGGACGTGAGGGTGAGGAAGCAGCGGAGTCCAAGCTGAGCACTGGCAGTGACGGTGCTGGAGGGAGGGGAGCCACGTAGGCAGAAACCTATGTTGGGAGGAGGGCGGGACCGGGAGACGCAGCAGCTTGGGCAGGAGTCGGGCTGGCCAGCCAGGTGGGTGGTGGGTGGTGGGAGGGGACCCGGGGCAACCTGCAGTGCAGGCGGGGAGGGCTGGAGGGGCACCTCAGGATGTGTTCACAACTCGGGACATGTTCAAGCACCCAAAAAGCAGGCTTCAAAAAATAGTTCCTGTTTGACTCCGTTTTCATAAATACATAGGAGGATTATGCACATCTGTACATTTAAAAAGTCAAAAGACAAACTGCACTTTAGCAGTGTTTTCTCTCGCTGTTCAAGTTTCAGGGGATTTCTATTCATTATTTGTGCTTATCTATCGTTTCCAAAATTTCCACGGTGAACCTATTTTGTCTTTGTTTAAAAAAAAAAAGTATCGTAAGTTTTGGTGCTGGTGGTTTGGCAGCAGGGGCCTCGGGGCTGAGGGAGGGTTTACTGGGCCCCGGAAGTCCTGGCCCTGAGCCTGGAGGCTGGAGGGGAGCCCATGGCCCCAGAGCTGCTGCTCTCGGCCACCCCACCCCGGACAGCCCGACGGGCACCTCCGCCGACCTACCTGAGCACGGACTCCACGAACACTCTCAGCGCCTTGATGTGCACCCAGGCGATAAAGGCTTCGCTGAAGTTCACCTTGAGCCAGCGCAGCAGGGGGCCCTGCAGAGAAGGGGAGCCGTGACCCCTGGGCCCCTCCGCCGCCCCGAGCCAAGAAGGACCTGCCCGTCACCAGCTCGTCACCTCCAGGCAGGTTGGACAAAGCAAGCCCTGAGCTGAGAAGGAGCGCCCGGGGCCAGCAGAAGCAGCGAGTCGGGCGCACAAGGCCCGGGCGAGGCCCAGGACCGTGC